TCTTAGATTCTTCAAATTTTAATAATCTTACCTAAAATTTGTCAACAAATTGCGATATATTTATTTATTTTTACTATTACTTATAGGGGAGTTAGAAAATACTTCAAGAAGCGGTGTCTTATAATAGTGGAATCATTTTGAGAAATACCATTTCCTTCTTATTTTTCTTTTTGGGGCATGGTTTTTCTATTATATACAAAAAAGTATCCATATTGTTAGGGCAAACTACTAAATTTATTCTTTCATGTGGTTGTTGATATTAATATTTCCCATGACAATAATATTTTGGTCACAACTTACTACTATTTCACATTTCATTAGTTACATATTCTATCATTACAATTACAAATTTTACTTAAATTTATAAATGATAGAACCCGTGCAGACGCATATATCTTCTACTAGTTATTAACAAAAGTATAATTTAAATATCATTCTTATGTATCCTTCTAAATGGGTATAATGGTCCTAGACAAGTTCTCTGGCTTCCACATTGTCAATCAAATTAGCTGACAAAAGATGCACCAGAAAGATGTGAAATATTGCATTTATTATATTATATTGTTACTATTTTTGAGAAAAAAAATAAAGGTCAATATTTTATTCAAGTTCTTATGTTTCATTTGTTCACTTTATTATTTTCTTCCGTGCCTATTCTCGTGGAATACTCCTAAAGTTTTACCAAAGACATAGTCCTTCTAACAATATTTTGAATAGATTCTAATGATTAAATCTAAAACTTATAAATTAAAAGTATCCAATTTGTATTCCTATGATCTAAGGAAGCTAACAGTGTATATCTGTCATGACTTAAGAAATTAAACATTTACAATGCCATTTAAGTGAGCGTACAATGAACACTTGATCTTCATCTGTTTTGATCCCATTGTTTTCAAGATGAAGAATGACCTTATTCAAATCATCAATATGATCCTCTAATGAGCTTTAAAATGACATATTGGTATTCAGAAGAAACTTTGAATTATAAACAACAAAATACTTCACACAACTATTACAAGTGAAAATAACAGTGTATACTATTATTTTCAAACCAACAAATTTCAACTTAAATAATCACATTCACAAACAGTTTCTAGTTCATATAACTTGTTATCAACAATATCTAAAAACATTATACTACTAAAGACATGTACTCTTAAAACCACATCAAATAAATGATGTTGATTTTGAAACTTAAGACCGTAGTTCTTCGAAATCTTCGAACCGATCATCGTCGATTTTTCCGTGAACGCAAACTTAGTGGAATGAAAGCCCTGAACATAAATTCCATGTTTGGAACTCCCATAAACCCTGAAGCTGCTGCAACCTCAAGTGATTGATTTTGAAAAAACGAATCAAATCTCATAGTGTAGACAGGTTGAATAATATCGACATTATTAGAAGAGAAAGCAATAATGGTGTATAGTAGAATTTCTGCACCCCAAAATATTCAAACATAATTATCTAATACAATATCAAAATTGCTATTATATTGTTGTTTATGTGCGGCCCCATTCTTTCATAAATCTTAACAAATCTATATAGATAATACAATAAAATGAGAGTAATAAATCTAAATAGTACAATATTTTTTCATAAATCTTAATAAATCTATACAGAGTTTTTTCATTTATATATATGAATTTAAAAGTTAAAAATTCCTTTTTATGATCTTACCAAAATATATATGAGATTTTTTTTACCAAACACATCCAATATATTGATATAAGATAACAAATAGGGTAAAACTTGTGATAATTTAGAGAAAATAAATAAAATAAACCTTATTACAACAAGTGATTAAAACAAAGATATATATATATATATATATATATATATATATATATATATATATATATATATATATATATATATATATATATATATATATATATATATATATATATATATATATATATATATATATATATATATATATATATATATATATATATATATATATATATATATAAATGAAAATTGCTCACATTCTTACCTTGAATAAGCAATTATTTTTCTTGTCATAAATAGCCCACACACATCTTATATAAATAATGATCTAATACATAATCTACCATAAGTAATAAAAAAAATACAATTTGAAGTTTGAAGTGATATGCAATAAAGAAGAATAGAAGAAAAGTTGTTAACAAAATGAATATGGGAGAAAAATTGATGGGTAATTAGATAAGTACATCTATTATAAAAATTTAAATTTCATTTTAATTATGCTTTAAAAGTTTGAGTTTGTCGCTTTGAATTATAGTCACGTGTGAGTGTAAATGTACAACGAGAGACTCATATTTATTTTTATTAAAATGCGAACGAAAATAATAAAATCATGTTTTTGAATGTGAAACATGCAACTGACGTCTTTAAATTTAAAATTAAAATTTTGAGCGTGAAATATGGAAATGACAACTTCAAATTTAAGATCAAACATATATATGATTAAATAAGTATTTATAAAACCAATCTTATAATATAAATTATTTGATCTTAATCGATTATCGTTGTGAATCAATTGAGTGTATATTTTGTTCATTAATTAAGAAAATTATAAATGAAAGGAGAGTAAGTAGAAAAAACTTGTTTAACAAAGAAACAAAACATTAGAAGATGACAAAATAGAAGTGAATTTGGGTATGAGTGAAGTTTGTGTGGGTATGTCTCAAAAAGAGAGAGGTGACAATTAAATTAAAACAAAAACATGTAGGTTGGGGAGAAGGTAGATAGATAGAAGTGAGTAGTAAGTCCATCTCTCTCTCTCTCCATATAGAGCAAGAGAGAGAGTGAAAGAGCAACTAAAAAAAAAGATCAAGTCTTTAGACAAAAAAACAGACACATAGTACTAGATAGTAGATAGATAAAATAAAATAAAACAAAACTGTTCACTTTCCCTTTTCTCATACTTGCTTCTTCTTCTTCTCTTGTTAGTCATTGTTTTTTCCTACACTCTCCAATGATGGATTCAAGCAAAAGAGAAGAAGAAGACGATGATCTTTTCCTCCCTGTCCCACCGGATCTGGTGCACCCTCCACACCAGATCCTCCCCTCCTCCTCCTCACCACCACCTCCACCACCACCACCACCAGATCCTCCCTCTTTCTCTCTCTCCGAAATCGTTCTCTTCCCTTCCCCTTCCTCCTCCGACTCACCTCCGAGTCACTCCTCCGCCGAGTCACCACCACCGAGTCACCAACCCATCCCCACAACAACCACAGAACCCTTCTTCATAAGCCCTGACCCTCACCTCTCCTCCCAATTCTACACATTCAACCCCGACTCCCACTCCCTCATGATCAACTGCCTCCTCCAAAACCGCCTCGCCACCCCCTCCGAGATCCGCGCCGCCACCCCACGCGCCGTCCTCAAATCATGGCGGACCGTCTGGAAAGACCGCAACGAAGAAACCGCTTACCTCACCGCATGGAAACGAATCCAAGACAAGTTAACAGCGCGTGTCGACCAGAACGGTAACCACTTCCTTTGCTTCAAGAATAACACAAACCAATTCGTTTCACACACGAATCAATGGCAAGACATTGTTATGAATTTTCATAGTGACGCTGATCTTAAGCATCTTGGGGTTAAAGACACTGTTGATAGGATTAAACAGGTTTGGACTGTTGGAGCGAAGTTTTATGGGATTCCTGAAAGTTACATTCGTGTTTGTATAGCCGCTTGTTCGGTTTGCTCCGGGGCAGCGTCTGGATCTAGTCTTACCGATGCTGCCGCCGCTGCGAGGAACAAGCGGCGGAGATTTGAGTATACCGAGTCATTTGATGTGCCTGCTAAGGAAGTTCCTAGTAGGTTACAGCAACTTGCTGCTAAGCATAAGGTTGTGCTTTGTATTAGGCAGAAGTATATCAGGTATAAGCCTTTTATGGCGGAGGTTAAGGATTATGCTTGCCATAGAGCGGGGCAACCGGCGGCTGCCAAGAAATCTAAGATTTTGAAGAGGGAGCCTTATGCTTCTAAGAGATGTGGATGTGGGTTTAGGATTAGGGCTATTGTTCCGATTGCCAATTATAATGAGAAGGATAAGAGTTTTGTGTATGAGGAAGAGGGGATGGCGGTTTTTAAATTGTATGCGGTGCATTCGGGGCATGAACCGGGGCCGTTGGATGGGAATGCAAGGATTATGCATAGGGTTGTTGGTCATAAAGGTGGGTATTTGATGGATCAGGATGCTGATGTGTATGGGGTGAGTGAGGAAATGGATAATGAAGGGTTTGGTTTGATGGGGAAAGATGAAGGGGATTTGCAGTTTTCGGTTTTGCAACAGGTGCAGGAGTTGAGAGTTGAAGTTGGGATGTTGGAAGGGAGGGTTTCAAAGATTCCGCAGGAATTGTTGGGTTCGGTTTCGAGAGATTTGTTTGATGTTGTGAATAGAATTAGGAGTATAGGGGAAGTGGGTTTGAAGCCGATGGGGTTACTTCCGACGGATAAGTCACATGCAGATGATGTCTTGGTTGGGGATAATGATCTTGCAAACTGGAGTAATCATCATCATGAAAGGATTTACGGGGATGACAAGGATACTGAGCTGATTGAGGACGATGAAGATAGTTTCGGGCGCACATTGGGAGAAGTTGTTTCCTGGGGCGACCATATCAGAACAGAGTGTAGAAGTCAGAAGGATTTGATAAACGAAACTTGTAAGCCTGAAAAGTGGTTGAAGTGTAGTGACTTTGATGAGAAGAGCATCCTTGATTGTGAAGATACTAAACTAACCAAGCCCATCAGACACGACGAGGCTATAGTTTCAGATGTAGGTCTTGGTTCTATACATGTTGATAGTTTCTACCAAGACAATCCTAAATGGTATGATTCTCCTTGTGCTTTGGGTACCGGTGCAGATTGTGAGGATACTGGATTCCGTCATGGAGAGATTTTATAATGCCATGACCGTCCACATTATTCTTCTCTAACCTAGAGATCAGATTACACCGCGCCTATGTACCCCTTCCAACAAATAGAAGCGGGATTGTACATTCATGTATACAGAAGATTGGAGCTACTCAACTTGTCCTTTAGGTGTTTTTATTCCGTGTGGTTCTGTAAAGTATTACCAGTTATGTTTCTTGCACATAACTTTGTTATGAATATGGCTATATTTATTGACCTTTCTCTCTCTCAGCTTTCTGATTCTTTATCTTAGTCCTTCTTATACTGCACATCAGTGTATTTAGTGACCTGTTTTTAAACGTAAGATAATTTTGTATGTATTATGAAGAGCCACTGATGATTTATTGCCATTTGGTGTTTTAATCTTTGTCTTTATGGCATGTAGCTATTTTCAATACAAATCTACTTATTTCTTATATGTAAAAAGATCACACGGCTTTGGTAGTATGATGACTATAAACTATCACAGGGGTTATTACAATTAGACAACCCAATATATGATGCATAACTCAGCCCCACTCTTTTGGCAATTGCTTTTGCGCTAAATTGAAGATTGAAAGATACATCCGGGTTTCCTCCCCTCCTTTCTTGGTGCGGTTTTTAAAAATTATGTGATATGTAACAATAATAGTTTCGAGGCAGGCAGGTGTATGTGTTGTTTATTCTGTTATCCAAATCTTTATACTGAGTCATTTGTATTAGTATGTAATTAGCAATGGAACATCATTTGAGATTGAACTTTTCATCTAGTCCTAGTTCCTTTCCTTCTTTTTGTTGTTCTTTTCAATTGGTAATCTTAATAGATTTAGCTTACTACGGTATGGACATATGATGATTAATATCCATATCATGCAGGGTTTCCAATATTTAATTCTGAGTGACTTTTTCACCTGTGTTTGAGTTAATGTTTATGAGTAGAGTTACTTGAATTTTGTTTTTTTTGTAGAGATTTTGGTTTTATTGTATTGTGCCCCATCTATCTTGTATGTGGAACATTTGTTTGATGATTCAGTCAAGAACATCATAGAGGAGTTTAAAATTTGATTGCATTTTCTGTAGCTTGTCTGCGTGAACACACTACTGTTATATTCTCATGGTATCTTTGAAGGTCAATAGATACACAAATATTTTCTACTGAAACAAAGATCTTGATGCCATTGTCTTCATAGAAAATTTTGCAGTCCAGCAAGTTCATGTCTTGCCTGTTTAATAATGTATAGTGAACCTGTCCTGTTCATTACATTTTCTTTGAAGTATTGGAACAACAACAAGAAGTCAGCAGCTAAGCTATTTCCTACCCGGAATGACTGAAGGTTTTAGGACTTTTCAGGTTCCTTTACACTTCAACAGAGGTGACAATTTTTATGGTCAATTTTATCTTTGATCATTGTTTGCTTCATGTTGCTCATTGAGTTTACAGCCTTCAATATCTTTTCTATATAGTGCTTTCACATTAAAGAAAGATGGTTTTTGGAACTAGAACTATGACTTATTAATAACCTTTTCAATGCCTAATTGTAATTTTACATCTGTATTGCTTATGCAAGTTACCACGGGCTCTGAAGGAAATTGATCTGAAGAAAGATGCCAGATATTCCAAGGAGCAAGAAGATTGTAGCATAGCCTTAAAAATGGGTATGATTTCATTTTTCATATATAGATAATGGGCTTTGCTGTTTTAAAACTGAAAGTACATCTACTGAGTTTTCTGTGTCCGATTCATCGCTGTGCCAGACCTTGTCCATTTTTTATCCCAAATGTCTCTGCTTGCACTTTGTTTTGATGTGTTTCCACTTATGTTTCACCGCAGTGCCAGACATGGTCCGTTTTCTTGTTCAATCTCTCTGCTATTAAATTCTCATGTATTTTTAATCTTTGTGAAAGTTTTTTTCTTATTCTTTGATTGCTGATTTAACTTTATTTGTGATTTTTCGTACTGTTATTTCATCACATCAAGTCAATATTAATATGCAAAGAATTTTCATTTTTTCCTACACTAGATACCGGTTTGTGTCTAGGAAATTTGTATTATGTTGTAAGTACTCAACTGTTTGAATGTACTGCTAAATGTTATTTAATAACTGTACACCAATAAATAGATTTCATTCACATCTTTGAAATTTTATCATAATTAAATAAATTTATAAATAATTAAGAAAACATTATTTTGAATTCATTCATAAATAAGAAGCAGTACATTGAGTTTATACAAGTACGGAACACTACTGTTATGCTACTGTTTTGGTAAGAATGTGACTGTTGATTCATATGTTTTGGTTTGTTGTGGTTATAACTGTTCTATTGTTTCCCTTTGCCAAAGATCAGAATTTTTGTTTCTAATTCTCTGCTGCCATGTATATTACTGAAGACTGTTTATTTGTGAAGGCATCAAGACTTGATCTTAGTTACTTGACTGGTGTCTATCTCTTACCTGTCTCGTGCAGGCGAACAAATGCAAATGAAAGTGTTAATGGCTTATCCAATGTTATGATGATTGATTGCATGCTTTATACTGCTACATATAGTTTTAGATTTGTAGTTTATATTTTTGTCAGATAATATCTTAAGACAAAACATGATGCATTATGACATATTCATTGATAATTGAGTGTTTGAGGGAAAGGGAAAAGTCTATCCAACTTATGGGAGTTAGTTATATAGGGGCTGAGGGGTGAGAGGAAGAGTATAGTAGAGAATCATTGAGTTAGTTATTAACAGTGAATTGTTCGCTATAGGAGCTCGGCTCGGTGGACAATTGGATATTCATCCCGTTGTACATATCTTTCATTTACAGGAATGATACACTAAGTATTTGTGCATTTTAATTCATTTCTTCTATATTTTGTGAGTTGCAGGGACTCGGGTACGCAACACCTTTTGGTGGATAACACTTGATACAAAGTATTATTTGGCGAGTAAGGAACTCATATCTGATTGAAACCAGGAAAACAGCAGCTGTTCTCGCCATTCCTAAAGCAAGCAGGTTTCCTTGGCTCTTCCCAAAAATCTTTCTTCCTCTGATGGAAAACATGGCGTTGTTGCCGGACTAAAAAGTGAAGATGTTGAACTTAAATCACTGGATCAGCATGTTGTTTCTATAATAGAAACTTATTGGAGTCTAAAATTTACATGAGAAAGTTACTGGAGCAGGCGCAGCAAAGAGACATGTGCGACAGCGCGGTATTTAAATTTTTGGCTAGTTTTCTGCAGAGGGAGTTTGGGGCGGCGGCTTGTTTGCTACCCAAGGAGTATATATTCTGACTGGTTTTCTGGCACATATGACTGAAACATCTTCCAGCACCATGGTTCTAGTATATGTATTTGCTTGAGGGGACAATTTAGAGAGAAACCAAGTAACCAGTCATAGAAGAGGGAGAAAGTCATAGAAGAGGGAGAAACTAACTTGCCACCCCCCATATTATACATGACATCCTACCAAATGGTATGACTAAATTGCCCAGACCCAAATCATTCACCACAGATTTCAAATTCATGTTGTCAATCGGATTTTTCAAATTTTTAGGCGATACTGAAAATTTCGAAGGTGATATCGAAAATTCTACGAGCAAGTGAGAATTTACGGTAGATTTTTGAAATTTCCGATATTTTGTACCAGAAATTTCAAAATATCTGGTATTTTCGTACCGGAAATTTCAAAATATGCGATATTTTTGTTTATCATTTATATCGGAAATTTTGAAATTTCCGGTGCGTCACAGAATACCGGAAATTTTGAAATTTCTGGTAGTTCAATTTTTTTTGAAAAATTATCAGAAACTTTCTAAATTTCTGGTAGTTTATATTTTCCTGGTTTTTATTTATTTATTTTGCAGTGAGGACTAGAGGTAGAGATGGTTCTATTGCGGGATGAGCCACTGATAGAGTTGATGCTGAAGTCCGTACTGACGAGGCACAGGTTTCAGAGCTACATGCTAGATGTCGTTCCCCGACTGGTTCTCATCGGAATCAGATGGCTGAGTAGAATGTGCAGTTCTGCACACCCTACTGTCGGGGTCTTAGAGTATCCACTGCTGATGAGGTACATGTTCTTACGGAGAAGGTACAAGCTCCTACTGAGGAGTTACAAACTCCCACTGAGGAGCTACAGACTCCCACTGAGGAAGTACAAACTCTTGTTCTTATTGTGGAGTCGGTAGCTGAGGAGCACATTGTGGAGTTTGTGGTGCTGGAGGCTGAGCATAAGGTTGTTGCTGAGCGAGTTGATGAGGTGTCTCCCACTGATACAGACACCACGACTCGTGCGTCTATAGAGCCATCAGTACACACTGATAGAGGTTTTTCTGGAGGACCTTCAGACAGGTCCGTGCTGACAGGATTTGCGGACCATATCGCTTATAGGATATGGCATGGCGAGGTATATATTTTTGGTTTTAATTGTATAATTTTTATTTTTGCTTACAAGGTTTGATGTGATGTATTTTGCTTCTTACAGGAGCGTTCGATGTTGAAGGTCGCTTTTTATGGTTCGAAGTTGAAGAGGAGTCCCATGTCTGAGGAGGTGAAGAAGATCATTAGCGAGTTCCATCTCCTGGAGTTTGTGGGTTGCTCCTTGACTAACATAAACATAAAACAGTACAAAAATCATAAAACAGTACAACAAACATAAATAAAAAATAACTAAACAAGAAAATCTAGGCACTACCAGATGATTCTGGATGTTTCAGACACTTCATTGTTGTTGATGGATCTTTGGATATGTGCGTCCAACTTGACCGGATCTTTAGTTATCCTTCAGCGAAATAATTTTCACATGACATTTACATCTTCATCATTCTTCAATTCGATTAGGTTATATTTCACTCTTTTATTTGTATCAATCCAATCCTCTCGAAATTCTACCTTTGTCACCCTTCTGTTATCGAAATCAGGTAGTAAATTATTCAACATTTCTTTCAAGGTGGCAAAGGATTCGGAAGTCATCTGAAAGTTTGAATTCAACAGGAGGGTTGTTGTCGTTGTAATACACTTTTGTCTTAATCAGAAATTGAGGAAGAGATATTTTCTGTATAACAAATGTCCCTATTTATACAAATAGTGATGCATTCTAGACCACACAAATGTGTCGGTACAATCAAAATCATCCAAATATGTTGACAAACTCTCGGTTGTTCAAAAAACTATGTTTTTATTACTACCGGGAATTTCAATTAATTTAAAATTTCTGGTACATCAGAAATTTTAAATGCACTACCGGAAATTTACGGTAGTGTAAATTTCATAGGGTGCACTGGAAATTTGGATAATATCGAAAATTTCAATTTTTCCACTGAAAATTTCGTCTGAAAATTATGTTCAACTCATCCAAGAGTAAAAATAGAATAAAAGAAATTGGGAGTGCCATATATAATTTTGGGATGGCATCTTAATATCTCTAGAAGAGGGTAGGGGTGGACATCGGTTTGGGCTCAAAACCTCAAACTGGCCCAACTCTCGGGTGACATATACTGACCCAATTCCGACCAGATCAAACATCAGTTTTTTTGGGTTTGAATTATATTGGTTTATTTTAGATTTCACTGTTGGATCCAATACAAAATCCGGTCAAAAGTAAATTCAATTGATTTTTTTCTACTCTTTTAAATTCTTATTTTAGTCATTGGATCACTCAAATTCTAAGCCCAATTACAATCCAACATGAATATTATTTTAATTTTAAAAATAACAAAATTATCTGATTTTTTATAAAAAAAAACTATTGATTACTTGAATAAAAAAGTAATAATTATTTGCTCAAAGGGACTATTTTGAGCCAATAATAGATGAATATTTTGGATTACTTTTGAATCACTTTATCACAGAAATTTCAAAACCAACCCCTTTTAAACATACAATCAAATTCATCTAAAATCCATATTTTGGAGCATAATCAAATCTTACATTCGATACAATAACATTCATCAAGAATGTATTACAAATCCATAAATGCAGTTGTAAACAACCAATAGTCATAAGTGCAATTGTAAACAACCCACAAAGTAGTCGTAAATGATTATAAAAAACACTGTGATTAGAACAGCATTGTTCAAAAGAACAAGTATCATATAACTTCTCAAACCTAAGAACAAGTATCATATAACTTCTCAAACAATAAGTTAATTGATCCAAAAATGTTCATTTATGTTCTTATGGTTCTTGTTAAAAGTTTAATATAAAAATATTTATGTGAGATGAAAACAATATGATACTTGTTCTTAGGTTGGAAAAATAAGAGCTAATTGCAATCCTGAGAGATCCATGCTTCTTCTGCATGTTCTTAGGCCCTTCCATGTAAAAAAAAGAGTTAAAGTTAGGGAAAAAATACAAGAAAATTTAGAAACATAATTTACTTTGATAAAAGTTGAAAACACATGTTAAAGAAACAAATCAAATCATCACATAATATATTTATGAGATTAACAAATTACATAATAATATGTCTTTCGGATGAGTAAGTTCTTGCTTTAAAAATACTAAAAAATTGAGTCATCCCCTAAAAGTACATATTTCGTTGAATGGTCATATATCCACGACAATGTTGGATCTGCAAGGAGGAAAAACACATACAAAAAACTAATTAGATTTTTGAACATACACTAACCCCAAATCTTAACTTCAAACAAACACAAACCCTAAATCTTAACTTCAAACAAATACAAACTCTAAATGATTGAAGAGTATAAATCACAAATAAAAACCATCAACCTTTTGAATATTGAGATAATCGTAGATATCGTCGGTGAAATGAAGATATAAAGGAGGTGATGACAAAACTTTAAGAGACGATGAAAGATGTGATATCCATAACACCAAAACAGAAACATAAGCACGAAGATCTCAAGCACGAAGATCTGGACTAGAAACGACGCAAATGAAGTCGTGGAGATCTGAATGTAGTGCAAATTGGAAGATGAAAGTTGAGGTTTAGGGTTAGGCAAGGATAAGAAGAGAAGGAATGGAATCCTTTATATTTGGTTAAGTGGACAAGTTGAATATAGATTTAAATTGGTTGAAGTAGAAGGCCCATAAAAGTATCATTGAATTCGGTCGGATTCAGATTCCGACGGATCCAAAAATCAAGCCGATTCTAACTAAAGTAAACCGCCCCAACCCTCTTTAACCACCTGACAATCCGACGATCCAAACCAAGTCGATCCAATATCTCAAAAAAACACACGGGCTGGATCGGGTTCGGTCATTTGATGTTTTCTTGTCCACCCACCCCTAAAAGAAGGTACAAAACGAGTTATAATTATGATATACTCTAAGAAGCCTAGAGACATAGTATGAGATAGATACATAAATATATCTGTAGTCAACATATGTTCTTGTGATCATAGCAAGTAGAACAATGTTAAGATATGTTCTTATGATCATAGCAAGTAGCACAACGTAAGATATGTTCTTGTGATCATTGCAAGTAGAACAATGTGTTTGTTTCAAAGTTTGCCACTTCTTCACATGTTAACACATGCTTCTAGTTGTAGCTTTGAAATGACTACTTTCAAACTCCAATTGACCATATGGTTCTGGAGACATTGCTACTTACATATCATTCTCTCACCTCTATATTAGAGAATGTACATTTTCTACCATAAATAAGTCACAAGAAAACATACAATTTGTGTGTGCAGTTTATATGATGTTTTAAAGATGAATTGTATTTGGATTATAGTTATGTTTTTAATTTTGTTCTTAGTTGGTAACTGATAAGTGCACATTGTAGCTATTTATATATATATATATATATATATATATATATATATATATATATATATATATATATATATATATATATATATATATATATATTTTGTTGCACTTATCGACTTTTTATTGTAAATATCGTTGAATAAACCCGATTTTTGTGTAAATACGTTTAGTTTGTGTTTACTTATGTTTTTATAGTATATAGTATATAGTGTATCATTTGTAGGTATTTGTTGCGTATTTGTAGCATGAGCAATAAAGTGTCGAAGACACAGCTTTAAACACGTAATTTTGAGCAACTCATCAATAAATAAGACTCAAAATCAAAGAATAAGAAATTATCAATTTGGTTGATATTTAGGTGTTGTTAGATAGATAATTTAATGAGCTTTCCAACACTTCGAACCGGGCGTAAATCGGAGTTACGGTTCTCAAGTTATGGCGAAAATAAAAAGCTGATTTTTTTTCTCATGACAGTAGAGCGCGCTTAGCGGGATTGTGCTGCTTAGCACGATCCCCTAGACAAAATTGCGTTAAAAGGGCCAAAATACACATTTTTTAGGTTATGTTTTGGGGTATTTGTTCTCAACTCATCAAACCTTCATTTTTTGATAGATTAGCTTAGAAAACAACATTAGGGCCTTGCTTATGGATGATTGAAGGTGGATTTCTCTTCAACCGGCGCTGACAAACTAGAAGATTTATGGTTTATCTCTTCTCTCCCCTTTGTATTTATCTTTTGTTGGGTATTATTTGTATATTTATTTTGAACACATGTATATTTGTTGATCAAGGTGTTGTATAAAGCTTGCTTTACAAATCAATCTTGATGTCTTCTTTAATCTTTTTGCTTTATATTTGGATTTGGATTGTTATAGATATATACCTCACAAATGTTGATTAGGGATGAATATCTATTAGTTTCTAGATTCTAGAGATAGACTTAGAGCTAATATTCACTTTGGATGCTAAAGCTTAATTCCTCCGTGTTGTTGTAGCGCGCAAGACATTGCCGATAGAGTAACATGGTTGGTCTCACGACTTGGCGTTAGACATAAACTTTGTTATGGATACATCTTGTGGTGTCCGTGATGATTTTGATGAGTATAGTATGTTGAGTGCAATTGATCGATAAATTTAAGTTTGTGACGAGTAGTGTACATTCATACTGGATAAGTTTTCTATCCTTTATAGTTTTTGTTTATATTTATTTTTTGTTGATACCTTTTCCATACAACCCATTCAACGCCCAAACTCATTTACACTAGATTTTTCGAACGACATTTCAATTCACAAATCTCTGTGGATACGATATTATATAACCTAAATATCACCCGGTAAATTAATAACTTACTTTTTGCTTGCCGCCCTACCGCGTAACAAAATCGCGCCGTTGCCGGGGATTGATGTTTATTGTTTTACATTGTGATAGTTTCTTTGTTTTTGAGTTTTGTAATTAATGTATATGTTGTATAGAATGTATACATAAACTTGACTATTTTTACTTGTACATGTTTTGTGTTTACTTTCCATACTTGTGCATGCATGTGTTTTTTTTTTCACGTATTGTTGTAAATTGTCTCGTTTTTGTAACGTTTATTGTGTGGATGTTATGACACTTTCTTTAGGTTTGCACGGTGTGACAATACCATGGCATGATGATAGGAGGTTACTAGCTCGCACAATAAAAGCGTCGAGATTACGATGTAAAACAATCATGTTTTGTTTGTATTCATTTATGTATGTGTTGACTTGTGTTTTGACAAGTTAAAATTAGACCTGTTTTAAATTCTCAAAATTTCACTTTTCAACTTGTTAATTCACTTTCACCCGTTTGTTTCGTTATGTCAATTTGTGTTTTCTGCAAGCTTGTTGTGTTTAGCTTGAGGAAGTTTGTATGTTGAAAATATTCTGTATATTGAAATTGTGTAGGTGTAAGTGGAGCTTGCATAGCATCTGCACCAATTGCTATCCTGTTTTTCGGCAACTGGTGTAGTGTGCCCTGCTGTGCAGAGCCAATGAATTCTTTTTAATTATTCACCTGGCTTTCCTTTTTTCCACTTCCACCTAGGATTTAAATAGTGAACAATATTAGAATAATTAATTCTTTTGTTGTTGTTTGGACTCAATTTTGGTTCGATAGCTTGAAGTCGCTTTTGGTGATTTTCCAAGTTTGAGTGTTTCAACTTGCGAATGCGTGGTAATGAATTTGTTAAAAGTTTTGTACACGTTCGAGGT